ATTCTAAGCTGTGGCTTCTGATTCTTTAGGTGCTGGTGGGGCAGGCCTCAGCTGAGGCCAACACTCTGAAGGCCAGTGGCTGTTCTTGGCTATGATGCCACATCCTGTTTCCCTTTTGGACCTGGAGCAGAGTGAGGCCCCTGCCTCTGCTGCAGTGTGCCCAGACCTTAGTTAGCACCTCTGCCCAGGCACAGAGTAGGTCAGGGGTCAGCGCCTTTCTTTTCTGTTTTCTAAATTCAAAGTTGACGCCTCAGAGAAATCGGAGGTTGGAGTCTGCCTGGGGCTGTGCTGCCCGACCTCGACTTTCTGGGTTTTGGTTTGGGCACCAGGAGTACCTACCTGTCCACTTTCCCTCGCCTTCCAATCGTTGACTCATCAGCACAATAGGCCCACAACTTTAGCCTTTCATTTTTAGTCTGGTTTAAACTGTCTTAAAAGAGTGTGTGTGAAATAAACATTGACAGGTTTTCTGGAGCCCTCAAGGTGCCTATTTTGCTGGTTCCCTCCCCACCCACCCTCTCCAATGGGAGCCTAGATGAGCTCCCTCCACGTGTTCCACCCCCTCACCCTGCTGTTGTTTACATTCAGCCTGCCTAAGAATTTCCTCTAGGGAGGAATCTGTTCCTGCTGTGGTCTGGTGCTGGGAGGGAGAGAACCTGCTGGGTTTAGGGAGCTGTTCCTGGAACAGGCTAGGTGAGCATCATGCCTAGGGCCTCCATCTTGTCTAGCCATATTCTAGCTGGGCCTTGGGCACATTCACCCTTCACGAAATTGGCCTGTACAGTCTGCCTTTTTATAGTCCTGTGGAACTCCTGTAGGCCTTCCCCTTCCCCACAGCTGCCCCTGAGATAGCTGCTGCTCTAAGGTCGTCGTCCCCACCCCCACCCCCACCCCACCCCCACCCCACCCCCGCCCCCAGTCTAAAGCTTTGTGGATGGCAAGGGGCATGCAGCCAGTGAGGATCAGAGGGAGGCTGAGAGCGTAGGTCGGTCGGTCGGGGCTTTCTGTTCCTGTCGGTTTAGCATCCATCTCTTTGGGATGCTTGCCCTCCGTGGAAGCCAGAGTTCTGACTGAGCAGAAGTGTGCTAGTTCTAGAGAATCCGTCAACAGACTGACATGCAGAGATGTAGAATCGATCGTAAGCACTGTGGGCTGGGTCATCTCTGATCACTGGTCACTAGATGGATAACTTGACCGGAGGTTTTTAGTGTTTTCCATGGTGATCAACCCCAGAGCAGCTGGAGCTGGTGGCAAATCAAAGCTATTAAAAGTTGATTTGTGTGGGACAGTCTCTTGAGTGTCTTTCCCCTCCATCTCATCACGTGACCCAGGAGCTGGTCCTGCGTGCTATGTGGACCTTTCCTTAAGATTTGCCCACTCTGAGTCTCCTGGACCTGACGGAGACCAGCTGGGTTCAGAGAACTATGGCCGCCTTCACCTCTGGGTGAAGGAGAGAGTAGTATTAGGGACCGGTCTCTTGGGTGCCTTTGGGTTTCTGCCAGCCTTTCCTATAGAGGGACAAGGGCCGGTCTGGGACGAGGAGCCCTAAGAAAGCGTTCCTTGCCTGCCCTGTCTCTCCCCATTTTAAGAACCTTTGTGTCCACCTAAGACCTTCAACCCGGGGTCCGCATCTCCTCCTAACATGGCTGGTCCTCTTGACGGCTCTCTGAAGGTTTCTGAGAGTGTTCCTCCCAAAGGCAGGCCTCCTTACAGCAGCTGCTTCGTACAGGAATGCCCACCACAGTTCACTGACTCAAGGGTTTGGAAAGTAAATCTGATCGAAAAGACTCAACGTATTGAGGTACTTTAGCTGAGGCTTTGGTCTCAGCAGGCCATTCCTGGATGAGGCGCATGAGATGGAAGGGGCCTGTGCAGCGCTGGCCTGCCCTCAGAAAAGGAGGTGGCTTCATGAGTGAGACATCTCCTTTCTCCTCTGTGGCCTCACCTGGGTACCCAAACCTTTCAGAAGCTCCTGAAATCTGCTGGAAAACAAAAAGCCTAGGACAGCAGGGGGCTAGAGAAAGAGGCAGGAAAGTTGAGAGAAAAAGGCAGGCTGGAGCGGTGAAGACTGGAGAAACTGACCCGGTTAGCCTCTCTCTTTACCTTCCCGGTTGGCTGGGGGTGGGGGGGGTGGGGGTCATCAGATCAGGGAAGAGGGCATTCAGAAAGTGAGGCCCCTGCTGGAACTTGAGAGAGACAAATGTGCCCGATGCCCCCGGTGAGCCTGTGTCCAGAGGCCAGGCTGGCTTCGCATCCCCGGAACGCAAGAGGAGGGTGGCAGCTGGTTGGGAACACACAACGCGGCCGAGGAACAACTGAGAAAATAAGGCTGACGTGAAGACAAGAGGGAACAAGGGAGTCACTCAGACATACCCCCTAGGCTCTGGCCCTGCTGAGCAGGACCGACTGACTGGGGGGAAGGGGTGCCCGAGAATTGGGGGCGGGGACTCCTCACAGTGGGGCCTTTCTGGCCCCCTCTTCGCCAAGCCCCGCAGTTCAGTGGGTGGTGTAGCTGGAGAGCTCGTCTCCCTCCCGGCACTTTCCAGTTCACCCTTTCACCGGGTGCCTCCTCCGAGCTGCCGAGGGTGGGGGGCGGGGGTAGGGGGAGCCAATCCCGGCAGCTCCTAAGGGGGGAGGCGGCGGTGACAGCCGCGGGGAGGGGGCGGAGGAGAGGCGGCTGGGCTCCGGCTCGGCTCTCAGCTCCACTCTGCCTCCCGCTCCACGCTATCTTGCTGCCCAAGCCTCCGGCTCCTGCCCCAGGACCCCGGGGTGGGCCCGAAAACCCTGTGAGTTCCCGGACAAAAGCCCTGTCCGCCCCTGCTCCGGGCCCCCAGCCCCGGCAGGTCGCTGCGCCGCCAGGGGGCGCCGTGTGAGCGCCCTATCCCGGCCACCCGGCGCCCCCTCCCACGGCCCAGGCGGGAGCGGGGCGCCGGGGGCCATGCGGGGCCAAGGCCGAAAGGAGAGTTTGTCCGAATCCCGAGATCTGGACGGCTCCTACGACCAGCTTACGGGTGAGTCGGTGGCTCAGGGGTCCCGGGCGGGTGGGCGGACTCCATCCCCCCAGACCCTTCCGCCTCTCTGACCCTGGCTGGGCCCCTACCCACACTCTGCCCCGTTCACGTGCACCTTCCAGGCTGGTCTGGGCGGCAAGACCTGGCATTCAAAGCTTAGGCTCCCCTGGCGGGGGGGGGGGGGGGGGGAAGAGCAGGTGAGGCAGGTGTGGAGAGGCAGCAGGTGTAGGCGTGCGTGACACCAGGCTAGGAGTGTGTCTGGAGTGGGAGGTGTTACGTGCGTGAGCACCTGCCATTCCTGTGTGTCTGTGTATGTATATGTGCGCCTCCCACAGCTAGTTGCCATGTGCCCTGAGCTTGGGTGACAGCTCGGGTGAGTGTGATTCCATGAGGCAGTGCGATTTCCTGGTCTTGCCAGCTGTTTGAGTGTGGTTGCGTAGGACCCTGGCTGCACTCGTGAAGTTTTGACCGTGTGTCTGTTGCATGTTCAACTTTGTGCTTTGAATGAGTCTGTATGAAGTGGCATGTAACTACCAGAGTGCATCAGGGTGTCACTTTATGTCGGTGTGTCTCTTTATAAGACTTCTGGGATGAACGTTCACTAAAAGTGTGGTTGTGGTTGTGGGGCTGTGGGTTGTTTTAGCATTTGGTGCTGTCTACTCCCATGCTCGGTGAGTGTTAATGGCATTTCTGTCCTCGTTGCCTGTCTCCCGGGTGTTGGTGAGGGTCTTTAGTGTCCCACACTAGCTCCCTCCATTTTTCTGCACATATCAAGGACACAACAAGGGGCCCTAAGGACCTAACAGCCTGGCTTGCAGAAGCACCTTACGGTTCCAGCACCTGACCCCTGTAGAGAGCCTTGGTTGGTGCTGGGTTAGTTCCTACCCAGAATCACTCAGACACTGGACACACAAAGCTCCCTTATCCCCAACGTTCCTTTTTGAACCTCACCCAAACCTCGTTTTCCTCGCTTTCCTCCAGTGCCAGGGGTAGAAGTTACGGGCCTGTGAAGTGCATTCGGCTGCCCTCAGGCCCCCCCACCCCAAATCACTTTGCTGCCCACTTTTGGAGGGTCTGTGAGATCAGGTGCATCTATGTCCTGGTAGAGTCCTGAGTTTGGTAGGTTACCTGTGTTTATGTGAACGACTTTGTTATCTTTGTATGTTTCCACATACATGTGCTTTGTGTGTCTCATGGTGCAGTCTCCCGAAGAGCTCCAACCAAGAGTAGGAGGAGGCTGTCCCTCCTGAGGCTGAAACAAAGCCGGGCAGGTGGGGAAGACCATAAACTTTGCTCTTCCTTGATGGAGTAGGGTTAGACCTGGGCAGCAGGGAAGGGGACCAGGATATCACATTTTGGGAGTAGGTCTCTGCCTCTAACTGACTCTGGGGAGACACTAGTTGCAATGTCAAGGCCCCCAGAAGGAAGAATGTTCACCATGAGGACCCCAGAGCCCCTGCTATCCAGTTCTACGCTGTACCCACTAGCAACTTAGGGTCCTTGGAAGTAGTAAGAGCCCCGGAGCCCTGATTCATATGCTCAGTCCGTTTGCCTCCTACCCTGATTCTCCTCTTCAGTGACATGATCGCCTCCTTGCTAGGCTACTTGATTGGTTTATTTTAATTAATTTATTGTGAGATGGTGTTTTGCTACAGAGTCCTGGCCTTGAATTCACTATGTAGCTCAGGCTGGCCCCAAACTTCAAGCTCTCCTGCCCCAGCCTCCCAACGTACTAGAATCCCAGTGTGTGTCCTGCTTTCCTGTTATATGATCTGATTCAGTAGTGTGGCAGGATTTGGCAAGGCTGGAGAGGCACTTCTGTTTGAAAGTACACTACTTCATCACAGTCGGGATGGAAGGATGCCGATTATGTGACTTGTAGTGTTCCAGCCTCATGTTCCTTACCTGTAAAATAGGGAATTCTACTGTATACATCCTCCTGGCTGCTGACAGCCTCCCAAAGGAAATAAGGTCCAGCACGTATAATCATAATCGAGCATCAGCATCCTCGCTGTAGATAGCTCCACACGTGACTTGAGAAGTAGGAAAAAAGACTACCAGGACCTCTCATTTGTAAAGAGGGGCTTATCTTGTGACTGGAGCCGCTGATTGGATCCCAAAGGGGAGTCGTTGTCCACGGTGCTGAAGTGTGCTCCAGCCCTCCCCTTCCCTGTGCAGGCAGGATTCCTCAGTTGATTTGGGGTGGAGGCAGAGGCAGAGGTCTCTGTCATCTTGGTTCATCAGGCTGGCAGCGAAGTGGCCTTGAAGTTATGCCTCAGAGCATCTCAGATACGCCCTGACTGTCCCAATTTTGCCCTGAGCCCCAAACAAGTTGGGAAAGATAGCTTTTTAGTTGGGGTAAGGTAGGATGTGATCCGAGAGCTCCTCCTTCCCCGTTCTTCCTGTCTTACTTGCCCGGTGGGGCGGCTTGGCAGTGCAGCACAGTGGGGAAAGGCTCCCACCCGCGCTCAGCAGCGCCCCCATCTGAAAAGAGGCAGAGAAAGGGTCGTTACACTGAGCAGAGCGTTGGGTCCGGACTGGCCAGCCCCAGGGCCTGGGTCCGGGATCTCCGGAGTCTTGTTCCTTTGGCGATGAAGTATCGTTCCTGGGTGTGGCGCGCCCCCGTGTGGCTGAAGAGCCCTCTGTACGAAGCTGATTCCTGGGGGCACTGTTACCCACGGGGTCAAGTTGACGGAGTGTGGCGTTTGGGGATAACTGTCTCCTTAAGTGTAGGCTCCCTCCCTACCCCTCCCACACACCGCGGACAGAACTGGACCATACATCTCCTGTGGCCTTCCCGGGAGTCGGAAGTGTTAGTGCTGGAGGGATGTACCTAGGGCTTTAACGACCGCGATAAGTCCTAGAAAGGGGTTTAGACGGAGACCGGCGGCTGAGGGGCTTTCACTTGTTGCATCTGCCTGGGAGCCAGCCTATGGTGGTCGAGTTTTCAGGAGGAAGACTCGGAAGACAGATCCAGACACAGTTCTGAAAGGGCTGTGGAGCCGGGAGGCAGCACTAGGCACACAGCCCTGCCGCCTCTTCCCCACGCTAATACACTGTCCCTGCTGCTCCCTCCTGCTTCCTCTCCCATTGGCCCAGCAAGTGTGGAGAGTTGCCATGACAACTATGTCCTCTCACCCCTGTAGCGTCCCTGTGCTAATATGGGAGGTGGGGGTGGGAGACACAGCCAGAAGAGGGGTTGAAATGGAGCAGTAAACGATAAATAAGATCTGCCTGGTGTAGTGGTTCACCCCTGTAATCCCAGCACTTGAGAAGACGGAACAGAGTTGCCACGAGTTCGAGGCCAGCCTGAACCATGTAGCAAGTGCCAGACAAGACCTAATCTGAAATAAACATCATTCAGTCATCCAGCTTTTCTTTCAAAATTCGTGTGTACCTGTTTTCCTTACCAGAAATCCAGAAGACGTTCGGAGAGAAAGCGGTGAGGAGAGAACGCCCTGCCCCCTGCCACGCCCCCTTCCCTAAGAGCTTCGGGGGGTGGGTGCAGAGGGCTTATGCTGACCTGGTCAAGGTACCCTTGTGAGGCCAGCAACCTGCAGAAAGAGGAGAGGCTGCGGGTCTGAGACTCGCCGCCTGCCAGTCTCGCCCTCTCGCACCGCCCACTCCGAAGGGGGCGGCACCGCCCCTCAGCCCGGGCCCTCGGGGGCGGAGCTTGGGCAAAGCGCTCCGAGCCAGGCCATGAACCGCTGCCCCCGCAGGTGCCGGAGCCCGCTGGGCCAGGCAGCTCGATCCCTCTACCAGCTGGTGACTGGGTCGCTGTCGCCAGGTATGAGGAAGGGAAGGGAGGGGCAGGACCCCTCTAAAAATGAGTGGCTCGGGATTGGAGTCTTACAGAGGTGGAGAGAAGGGCTCCTCTCGGGGATCCGAAGGAACAGGGGCTCGCACATAATCGGGGTAAGGACGAGATCTCTGACAGAGTAAAGCAGGGGGTAAGGATCACTCACGAAACAGCAGGATAAGATAAAAGGAAGAGGCATCGTGGCTCACAGCATTGGAGAGGATAGGGCTGCTCACTGAAGGGTGAAGAGACTCCAAAGGGCAGGGCGCAGGGATGGGAGGAAGCTCGCCACTGAGCTGGGGAAAGAAACAGCCCTGTATTCCATTACTTGGGTTTTGTGGGGTGTCTTACAATAACCTGTCAGTGTCAAAAAATAATAATAAAGGGGGAAAAATGAAGCTAGAGCAAGCTGAGCTCCCTGGTGAGTTCATGCCTGACCAGACGGATGGAACCGGGTGGCACAGATAGTCACTGCTTTGTCTCTGGGGGTCTGTGTTAATGGAGTTGTGTATTACCTACCAAGTTGCGTGTCTCCAAAGGCCATGCCATGCATTCTGGGACTGCGCCCCCTGGGGTTGCCAGGGTTATGTGCTTTGGAGTTGGGTTTGAGAACCCTGAGTCAGTAAACTGATAAGGCTTTCATGAAGTTGTGCCTTGGCATGAAGTTTGTGGGATTTATGATGCGTAAGTTGTGGGTTTTATGTAGTGCTGTTGAGATTTGTGCACACCTCCACTTAGGTTTCCTTAGGGCTGCCTGGGCCCACAGAACCTGGAATTCTTTCTCATCTGGCCTCAAGGAAACTGACACAACCTGGCCCGTGGCATTCCGGGATCTGTAGTTCCTTGCTTCCGTACATGAGGTTCTACTGGAGACCCTGGAGTACAGTCAGGGCCTGAGACCATTTTTTGCCATGTACCTTTGGGAAGAGAGTTGGGGCCAAGTGAGAGCCATGCTTGCAAGTCTCTTGGGGAGCATGTATCCCCTGAAGCCCCCTGCTTGGGCTTGTCTCCAGTGACAGATGGCTGGAGCCAGGCGGGGCCAGCTCTCAATCACTGCAGGCATGACTTCCAGGACCCAAAATAGCCCCACCGCCTAGGGAGGTCATTAATCACCTGATGCAGCTGGGGGCTGCAGTATTTTTTTTCTTTTTTGATTAGCTGGGGATGGAATGGAAGTAGCTGAGAGAAGGGCTTTTGGGGGTCTTCAGTGACAGAGTGACAGTGGAGAGCAGATGGCAGAGGGTGTGGGTTCCTCCACAAGGCAGTATTTTTCCAGACTTGAACCATGGAAAGTAATGACTGAATGATAGCAGTATATCTGTGGTGAGATTTGAGATGTCTGGGAAGGACCAACCCAGTCCCCTAACACTTTAGTCTTGAGTTCTCACTTTGCCTAAAGTGATTCCATTAAGATTTCACTCTGAAATTGGGGGGGGGGGGGCGCTCGCCTTTAGTCCCAGCACTTGGGAGGCAGAGGCAAGTAGATCTCTGTGAGTTCAAGGCCAACCTGGTTTACAGAGCTAGTTCCAGGATAGCCGGGGTTACACAGAGAAACCCTGTGTTGAAAAACCACAAAGAAGAACAACAACAGGGGATGGCGGCGCACACCTCTAATCCCAGCACTTGGGAGGCAGAGGCTGGAGGATCTCTATGAGTTCTGAGTCCTGATTTATATAGTAAGTTCCAGGACAGCTGAGGCTACATAGTAAGACTGTCTTTTTTAAAAAAAGAAAAGAAAGAAAGAAAGAAGAAAGGAAAGAAAGAGAGAAAAGAAAGGAAAAAAAAGCTTTCACTGTGGGAACGGGGTTGTGGCTCACACGTCCTGTGCTCACCTCACAGGCCATAGACCCGAGTTTGATCCCCAGCACCACAAAAGTGGATGATGAGGTAAAGCCAGTGGAATAGCAAAGTCAGGTCTAGCTCAGTCTCATTCAGTTCTAAGACTTGAGAAGTCTTTGTAGGGGGATGGCCCACCCTGGGGAAGAGCTTGTTCTCTCCCTTCCTGCAGACCCTTCACCAGAAGCCTGGCTGGGTCAAGGTCTCTGAGAGCTGGAAGGAGAAAGGAAGACACTGTGATCAGGACAGTTGGATGCAAGATTGTCGGTCTGCCTGTCTCTCCAACAGCAGGAAGCAGGGCACTGCTCTGCTGCCTTTCAATCCAGATAGTCTGCTTAGTATTCCTAGAGTCCAGCCTTTGAAATTGTGTCACCCAGAGCTCTCCCAACGTGAACTGTCTTCTCAGCACTCCCATTGACGGGGTGACTGAGAGAGCTGGTACATGGCAGGCTTTAGCCGAAGTCATTCTTTACCAGGATATTAATTACTTCTTGGGGAAAAAATAATCACTTGATGAACCTCACTTCCTCTCAGGTTTATCATGGAGGTGACATGAAGTAATGTATATTCATAACTAGTGGGCTCACCAATGCTGATCCTTTTGTTAAGGTAGATGTTTGAGTCAGCATTTTGTTTTGTTTTGTTGAGATGAGTTCTCACTGTGTAGCCTTGGCTGGGTGGCCTGGAACTGACTATGTAGTACAGACTGGCGTCAGAGTCCAAGATCTGCCTGCCTCAGCCTGCTGAGTGCTGGTATTACAGGCATGGGTGTTCAGTGGAACATGTAATTCTAACACATAAGAGGTAAAGCAGGGGGCTAGAGAGATGGCTCAGCGGCTAAGAGAACTGCTTGCTCTTCCAAAGGTCCTGAGTTCAATTCCCAGTAACCACATGGTGGCTCACAACCATCTGTAATGAAATCTGGTGCCCTCTTCTGGCCTGCAGGGATACATGCAGACAGAACACTGTATATATAATAAATAAATAAATCTTAAAAAAAAAAAAAAGAGGTAAAGCAGGAGAACCTGGGCTAGCCTGAGCTATGTAGCAAGTCCCTAGACTCAAGATATAGCTTTACAGAAAAGAACATTCCCAAGGTGAAATATAGGTAGGATTCTAAGACTATGGAGAAATGAATCAGTAGTAAATACATCTTTTTATTCCAAAAAAAAGATATAGCTTTAAAAAACAAACCAACCAACCAACAAGCACCCCAAAGGTTAGGGATGTAGCTCAATGGTAGAACTATTTTTTTTTTAATGGATGGCTGTATGTAATGTTTGTGCAGGTGCCCTCAGAGGCCAGAAGAGGGCGCCAAGTTTCCTGGAGCTAGAGTTACAGGAAGTGGTGAGCTGTGGGGTGAAGGAACTTCCAGGTTGTCTGGAAGAGCAGTAAGTGCTCTTAACTGCTGAGACTTCTCTCCAGCCCCTCAATAGCAGAACTATTATCTAACATGAACAAGCCCTGGAGTTGATCCTCAGCACCACAAAACCAGCTTAGACTGGATTCCCCCTGACCTCCCAGTTAGAAAGCTTTTGCTATGTAACTCATTTAATGGCCTGACTAGAACTATTTGCCCTGTAGAGGTCATACAACTCCAGTTCCAGGGGATCTGACCTCTTCTTAGACCTCTACAGGCACCAAGCATGCATGTGCTGCACATATGTACATGCAGGCAAAACACTCATACACAGAAAACAAATCTAAACGAGAGAAAGACCCTATCTGAAAAAAAAAAAGTAAAAATAACTGTAGTAATAAATATGAAAATGCCTGGTGAACTGCTCAGTGCCGTGGAACTATGGAAGGAATGTTGTTATTAACAGTGGTCATGCTTATTTAGCGGTGATTAAATTGTCCAATGGCATTTCATGTTTCAGTTCATTCATTCCCACCAAAAACTTTGTGAGATGAAAGCCTGAAACATACACATGTTAAGATCTTATCAAGGCAGTGGTGGTGCATGCCTTTAATCCCAGCACTTGGGAGGCAGAGGCAGGTGGATCTCTGTGAGTTCGAGGCCAGCCTGGTTTAGAGAGCAAGTCCTAGGACAACCAGAGCTATACAGAGAACCCCTGTCTCGACTGAAAAACAAAAAGTCTGTCTCTGTCTCAACTGGCGAACGGCCTAAATAAATCATGACAATGAAATCAGACACGTATCTATCTCCCTGCACAAAATCGAACTCTAAACGTGAAAACTTACACGCCGAAACAATGAGCATGCAGGCAGGCAAAGCACCCCCACACAAATGAAATAATACAGTCAAAAACAAGCCAAAACAAGGACTCTTCAAGGAGCTGTGAAATGGTTCAGCCAGGAAGGCGCTTGCCACCCAGCCTTGTGCTCTGCATTCCATCCCTGGGACCAGGGAAGAGAGAACCAACTCCTGCTAGTAGTCTTCTGACCTCTACAGGAAGGCCATGACACTTGCCTCATCTTCCTGTGAAGAATACTATTTTAATGTAAAGGGGGATCCACCCAGTTAAGTGCAAGTTGCAAACTGATTTGAACCCAGGTAGTTGACACCTTGGCCCATGGTACCTACCACCTCTATAGTCTGTTTATGTTATTAACAGTATGGAGTTAGGTGCTGCGTCTTGTGGATTCGACAGGGTATTGGGTTTTTTGTTTTGTTTTGTTCTGCTTTTTTGAAACAGGATTTCAGGTAGCCCAGACTGGCCTCAAACTCCCTGTGTAGTCAAACTCAAGGCTGGCCTTGAATGCCTAATCCTCCTGCATCCACTTCCCAAATGCTGGGATTACCGGCGTGTGCTACCGCAGCCCAGCTCAAGGAATTGGATGGAGCTCAACTGGGCAGCTGGGGACTGAAGGCTCTGAAGAGGGTGAAGCTGCCTGGAAAGGGTGGGTGAGATCTCTAGGAGAGTGAAAAAGAAA